AGTGAAGTGTGATGGCAGGATGGCAGCGTGCAAGAAGGAATGAGGTTAACCCACTTGGATGGGAGATGGTTAGATGGTTCCAGCCAAGCTCAGGGATATGACATGGATGGAACCCTTGATAGCTCTGGAAACACTCAGAGTCACTCAAGAGTCTAGATAACTGGTGATAAGCACATGGAGAAAGAAGTAAAGAAACAAAACAATTATTAAGCAAATGAAACACAAAGTTTCAGGAAGATAATTTAACTGTAGATTAGTAGTGGCTTAGCTGTGTATAGCATTTATGCAGTTGGCCCTCTGTATCTACCAGTTCCCATCCTGCAGATTTAACCACCATGGATGAAACCTGTAGATACAGAGGGCAACTATACTATGCCACTTTATAGTAGGAACTTGAGCACCCTGAGATTTTGGTATCCACGGGGGTCCTGAACCAATCCCTGCAGATGCAGAGGGCCAACTATATTGCAAACAATATTGTATTGTCATATTGTAAACAATAGCACTGATGGAAACCAAATTTATGGTATAATCATATTGGGACTACAAGGAACAAGAAGTCTGTGTGCATATATGTGCCTTTCAGTGGGTGGCAGAAACAGTGAGATGAGCTTCAATCTTAATCTTCCATAGCAAAACCATAAATAATTTTGTAAAATGTATGCAAGTTACAAAGAACAGTAATAACCAAAAATACCTGTGTATCCACCACCCATTAAAAACAATTATAGTTATTATGAAGTTCTCCATGTGTCCATTTCATTTTATTAAGATAATCATATGCTGATTTTATGTTTATCATGCCTTTCACTTTCTTCATAGTTTACCACATTTATTTTTTGTTTTAGACTTCAGGTATGACCTACTTAAATAAAAATGGGACTCTGTTTTAATCAAAAGAGAATATTACCTTAGGTTGGTAAATCTGAAATCTCAGATGAAACAACTGTCTTAAAAAATAACCAGAACTAGCCGGGGCGGTGGCTCACGCCTGTAATCCTAGCACTCTGGGGGCTGAGGCGGGCGGATTGCTCGAGGTCAGGAGTTCGAAACCAGCCTGAGCAAGAGCGAGACCCCCGTCTCTACTATAAATAGAAAGAAATAATTGGCAACTAATATATTATAAACTAGCCGGGCATGGTGGCGCATGCCTGTAGTCCCAGCCCCTCAGGAGGCTGAGGCAGCAGGATCGCTTGAGCCCAGGAGTTTGAGGTTGCTGTGAGCTAGGCTGACGCCACGGCACTCACTCTAGCCTGGGCAACAAGCGAGACTCTGTCTCAAAAAAAAAAAAAAAATAACCAGAACTGCATAGGAGGTGGAACAAGAGGACCAAACAGAAACCTAGCAGTTGTCCCTCTGCACAAACACCAAATTCAGCCACTATCACATGAGGAAGAACCTTCAGAAGAACCAAAAATCAGGTGAGCAATCACAGTACCTGGTTTTAACATTCTATCAAGCAAAGAGGGGCCGAAAAGTCATTTTGCATTGCCAACACCACCACTCCCACCCTCCAGCAGTGCTGCACCAGCATGCCAAGTGGAGAGAGAGATGTGCTCCTGGGAGAAAGAGTGAAGTAATTGTGGGACTTTGCATTGGAACTTTGTAAGATTCAGCCTCCTTATGAACTTGTACTTCAGTCTGTCTATTAGGTCTTATACTTGTTTGAGACACTAAATCTCCTCTCTCAAAGAATAGAATTTTGCATTTAAAAATATTTGAATTATCAGTTTGGCTTAATTTTATAGCAACCTGCAATGTTGCTTCATGACAAGTGTCTTATGATGAACAATTCATGACTTCGTGCTCTTTAAGCTTTCACTAAAATTTAATGTTACTAAAAATAAGAATTCTAGGCCAGGCGCTGTGGCTCACGCCTATAATCCTAGCTCTCTGAGAGGCTGAGGCGGGCGGATCGTGTGAGCTCAGGAGTTCGAGACCAACCTGAGCAAGAGCGAGACCCCGTCTCTACTATAAATAGAAAGAAATTATTGGCCAACTAATATATATAGAAAAATTAGCCGGGCATGTGGTCCATGCCTGTAGTCCCAGCTACTGGGAGGCTGAGGCAGAAGGATTGCTTGAGCCCAGGAGTTTGAGGTTGCTGTGAGCTAGGCTGACGCCACGGCACTCACTCTAGCCTGGGCAACAAAGTGAGACTCTGTCTTAAAAAAAAAAAAGAATTCTAGTCAATGCATGTAATTCTATATATAAGGTGTAAACTAAAAAAAAATATTAAACAGAATGTGTTCCTATTAAAATATATATGTAACTTTGTCTAATTCAGGGGTTAAAGGTTGAATCAAAATAAATTCAGAAAGAAAATAAAAACAAAATTCAACTTGTGACTAAGAGAAAGAAATAAAAAGGCAATGAATATAGAAATATATTTTTTGGTAAGAAAGGTTAAACAGAAAGAATAGTGTAACGAAAGGATCTTGCATGGAATTTTTTGTCCTAAAATGACTGGTTATTTAGGAAAAGGGAACGTTAGGACAAAACAGAAAGTTTTTAGGCATGTTTTTATAGATATTGTATGGTATGTGCAGATTGGGATAAAGTTTATAAAAGGGAATTTATTAAGGAATTTTGTTGGCCATAAAAATTTTTTTTGGCTAAAACAAAGATTTTTTTGTAGATATTAGTTTACTCTTAATGAAATGACATGATGTACTTATTTTGATTCTATAACATGTTCCCTTTTTAATTAAAAAGTATCACACTGCAGAAGGTTTTTCTTTAATTTTGGTAACTGACCTAAAAGAAGTAAAGATTTTATGCTTTATCAGATAATGAATGCCTGGGCTCTCTTTGTTAGGTTTTGACTAATTAAAAAAACTAGATTTTAAAAGGGTTAAAGTTTACACACATATAACTTACTTTATCACCCTTAGAATCTTTTGATGACTATTTCTCTTAAATAAATGACCTTTATTCTATAGTGGTTTGTGATTATATTTGAACAAATGTTTTAAGCCTTTGATATCTGACAAACTCTCTAAACCTTAAATTCTAAATCCAGCCTTTTGACCTTAAACTATTTTTTTAAACTATATTTTTACATATTAAGGTCACTGAAAGTCTCAGACAGACATTAGATTTATTTGGTGTGTCAAAACCATCCAGGGAACATTGTCAAATATGAAATGGTGTTTAACTTTCTTTGGGCTATACTTGTATAAGTATGTTATTAACCACTTTGGTATCGTGGTCACTGGCTGCAAAACCTTGCCCACAGCCGGCACTCATAGTCCCCACAATAGTTTGTGCTGTGCACTGACAACGAATCCGTTTTGCTCTTGTGTGATAAGGAAAGCTTGAAAGCACTGAAAGCTTGTTTTACTTTACAGACAGCTTTACTTGTAATGTAAATCAGAATAGGTAACATATACATATATGTTTTCATTACGTTATTTTTAAATATTCACAATTTTATTTTGATAAATGAAAAATTAGAAAAGTCATATCATGGCTGTCAGCTAAAGTCGCTGTGCGCATTCATCTGTGACTATCAACTATAGTCGAGGCTCGGCTGTGCGTGTTCATCTGTGGCTATCTACTATAGTCGACGCTGGTACCGAAGTGGTTAATATATGCTCCAGTATTGTAAAATATTGACATGTCTTGGTGTGTGTTGTCAGTAATAATTATGGTTATTATGTCAATTTCTGTATGTCACAAAAATAACCAATTTGGTTTGTCAATTATCTATAACCATGGCTAGTCCATGTTTTATCATCTTTAGAAAATTATTATTTTACTTTGATTCATCTCAGAAAGTGGTTCTTTCTGGCTAAGTCCAAAGTTGGCTTCTTCAAGTAAAGTCATGGAAAGGACTGACAAATCCACTTGAATACTGGTTTCTGATAACTTCGGAGATGATGTACCACTGGACTAAAAAATAAAACAAACTTCCAGGACTTTAATTAGAAAACTGATATGACCATGAGTATAGCTAACTCAACCTCATGAGAAAGAACTAATTTTTCACAAAAAGACTCCAGAGTCCTGACAAATTTTAAGTAAATAGCAAGTTTACCTGATCTCTGGGACCTAGAACCATGGAATCTGCCAAAGTCCTGTTCAAATATCCTCCCTGTAGGCCCAGGGACTATTGCAGAAGAGGGGTCATATGAGACTGTAAGGGGTGATTCCAAGGGATGAAATTAGTTTAGACCCTCGAGATCAAGGAGGAGCATACAGAAGCCTAAAGGAATACTAACTGACATGCTTTGTCTTTTCATGCCACATGCTGAAAATATCCGTCCCAATCATAAAATTCTTTTCCTGCTTCCTACAGACTTAGAACTTCCTGAATATAATTTTTCTTACTTATGGATTTATACAAAAGGAGATATAATGAGCAATTTATCAGCCACCTTAGTATAAATTACTAAAGAGACTAAAATATTGTGACACAATAAAATTATCTAAATTCCCTTGGTTTAAATGTTAATGATGCTCATATTTGTTACAAGTGTACCACTAAACCCAAGTAGTAGCTCAACATTAAAGATAAATTAGTTCTGTAGCCTTGCCTTTGACATTTTGGACTTTACTCTTATGTCATCTAGAAGGTTTTAAAATGTTGATGAGTGCCTGCCTATCTCCAGTCTTATTTGGCCTAAAATATTTAATTGGCTCTAAGCCCCCTTTCAGCTCTTCAGTCCACTTGGCCACAAGGGTCCCAATGACAGACTGGATGGACCACCCTGGCAATGGATGGGACAAAACAAGAGTTTGGACATAGATGCTGCCTCTGACAGATCTTGGCCAAAAACGGGGAATTGTGAACTAAAATAAAATCTTAAGCTTTTTTTGCAACGGGTTTGCTGCCAGAACACCAGTGCTATGAAAACCACCCATAAAAGGCAAAATGGGGAAGAAAAAGACTCACATCAACATCTTTGTCATTGGACATGTAGATTCAGGCAAGTCTACCACTACTGGCCATCTGATCTACAAATGTGGTGGGATCTACAAAAGAACCATCAAAAATTTTGAGAAGGAGGCCACTGAAATGGGAAAGGGCTCCTTCAAGTACACCTGGGTTTTGGATAAACTGAAAGCTGAGCGTGAGCGTGGTATCAACATTGATATCTCCCTGTGGGAATTTGAGACCAGCAAATATTATGTGACTATTAGTGATGCCCCAGGACACAGAGACTTTATCAAAAACATGATTACAGGCACATCTCAGGCTGACTGTGCTGTCCTAATTGTTGCTGCTGGTGTTGGTGAATTTGAAGCTGGTATCTCAAAGAATGGGCAGACCCGTGACCATGCCCTTCTGGCTTACACACTAGGTGTGAAACAGCTAATTGTTGGTGTTAACAAAATGGATTCCACTGAGCCACCCTACATCATGAAGAGATATGAGGAAATTGTTAAAGCAGTCAGCACTTACATTAAGAAAATTGGCTATAACCCTGACACAGTAGCATTTGTGCCAATTTCTGGTTGGATGGTGACAACATGTTGGAGCCAAGTGCTAGCATGCCTTGGTTCAAGAGATGGAAAGTGATCGGTAAAGATGGCAACACCAGTGGAACCACACTGCTTGAAGCTCTGGATTGCATCTTGCCACCAACTCATCCAACTGACATGCCCTTGCATCTGCTTCTCTAGGATGTCTACAAAATTGGTGGTATTGGTACTGTCCCTGTGGGCCGAGTGGTGACTGGTGTTCTCAAACCCGGCATGGTGGTCGCCTTTGCTCCAGTCAATGTTACAACTGAAGTAAAGTCTGTTGAAATGCACCATGAAGCTTTGAGCAAAGCTCTTCCAGGGAACGATGTAGGCTTCAACATCAAGAATGTGTCTGTCAAAGATGTTCGTTGTGCCAACATTGCTGGTGACAGCAAAAATGACCCACCAATGGAAACAGCTGGCTTCACTGTTCAGGTAATTATCCTGAACCATTCAGGCTACACTCTTATACTGGATTGTCATACAGCTCACATTGCCTGCAAGTTTGCTGAGCTGAAGGAAAAGATTGATTGCTGCTCTGGAAAGAAGCTGGAAGATGGCCCTAAATTCTTGAAATTTGGTGATGCTGCCATCATTGATATGGTTCCTGGCAAGCCCATGTATGTTGAGAGCTTCTCAGACTATCCCTCTCTGGGTCATTTTGCTGTTTGTCATATAAGACAGACAGTTGCTCTGGGTGTCATCAAAACAATGGACAAGAAGGCTTCTGGAGGTGGCAATGCCACCAGATCTGCCCAGAAAGCTCAGAAGGCTAAACGAATATTATCCCTAATATCTGCCACCCCACTCTTAATTAGTGGTGGAAGAATGGTCTCAGAACTGTTTGTTTCAATCGGCCATTTAACTTTAATAGTAAAAGATTGGTTGTTAATAACAATGCATCATAAAATCTTCAGAAGGAAAGGAGAATGTTTTGTGGACCATTTTTGTTTCTGTCTGTGTGGCAATTTTAAGTTACTAGTTTTTAAAATCAGTACTTTTTAATGGAAACAACTTGACCAAAAATCTGTCACAGAATTTTGAGACCCATTAAAATAAAGTTTAATGAGAAAAAAAAATCTTAAGACTCACCTCCCACTGGCTAACTGAATGGACCCCCTCTTGGCCAAAGGAATATCCTAAAACTAAATTGCCTGCCAGGAGGAAGGTCAGACATACCTCATCATGCTCTCCTCCTTTCTTGGGAACATCCTTTGTAACCATTAACAGGCCTAAGGTTATGCAAGACAAACCTGTAGGTCCTTAATTTATCCTTAATTTAAGCAACAAATATATGTCAGGGTGCTTATCTCCGATAAACACCTCCTTATGTTAAAACATTCCATGCCTTTAGACAAAGCTTCATGTCTTTAGCCAATTACAAGCCAAAGAATTTTTAAACCCACCTATAACCTGTAACCCACCCCCCAACGCCCGCTTGAAGATGGCCTACCTTTTGGGGCCAAACCAATGTATGTCTCCCATGTATTGATTTATGACTTTACCTGTAACCCCTATCTCCCTGAAACGCACAAAACCAAACCGTAACCCAGCCACAGGGAGTCCACTTGCTCAAGGCTTCTTGGGCGTGGCTCTGGGTCATGGTCCTCAAATTTAGCTCAGAATAAATCTCTTTAAAATTATTTTACAGAGTTTGGCTTTTTTTCCATTAACAAGATTGGCAGGGCCGGACGTGGGGCTCAGAGAACACTCAGGATTCCCGAAGGAGTAGCCCGAACTCGGCACCAGGTATGGACATTCTCAGCTTTTGGCCCTCCAACTCCGGGCTTATCCTTCAGCAGAACTGGTAAGTCCTCCTGAGCTCCGGACCTCCCATTTTGGGTTGATGGTCTTGGTTAACTCTGAGCTGTTTCTTTTCCTAGGAACTGTTGTTTGGGATCCTAATTTAGATTTGGAGGTGCATTCTAAAGTGTCTTCTCCATTGTCCTTTTATCCTAAAATTAACCTCAATTGGCTTTTCTAAACAAATCCTTTAAAAATTAGGAAAGACAAAGAGAATGACCACATTTGGCACTGCAATTGGTTTGTGGCACCTCTACTTCCAAGTATTTTTGTAAATGAAAAGATTCAAAGGCAAGCCAGGTTTCCTGGGGCTCCAGGTTTTCTAGGGCTCCAGCTGGTTATAGCTAATTCTTGTGCATAAGCTTTTACAAAAGGGCAAATTACATCAAGGAAAATTCAGAGCTCAAATGGTTGGCCTACCACTATACAGTTAAAATGTCTCAAGCTATTTCTCTTTTCTGGCTACTCTAAAACCTGCTAACTTTTTCTACTGATGTTCAGATAACTCATTGTTTATGGTATTTATAATTGAAAGGCTGGAGATCCTGCAGCCAGTTCTAGCTAAAATGCAAACACTGAAAACTCATTTTGAACTGAAGAAAAAGAAAGGGTAAAGAGGTTTTTCAAGAAATCAAACTACCATGGAAACGGCGAAACTGCTTTACCCAAAAATTTTGATCCACAGGCCTATTTAGGTTACCTATCAGGGCAGCTAAAGTTTGCCATGTGAACAAGTTCCAGTTTTGTCAGAAGACATTTGGATCCAGCTATATTTTACAGACTGGTGTTACCATCTGATGCCTAGAGTTCTAGGGTAAAATCTATTAGAACTGTGTGTGTGTGAGTTTATATGTTTAGGTATGCTTTATGTATGTCCATGTATTACAGGTTTGTGTTTACATGGTGCAGGATTGGCTTAAAAATGAGAGCGCTCATAAATTAAACCCAAATGGTTCATGTGAATTTAGTAATCTTTGGTAAATAAGTTGGGTTATTATTAAAAAATAAAAAGGTGAAAGAAAGTTATGAACTGGGAAAAATGGTGGAGTAAAGGTAACCCCCAGGATTCCTGCTCCCAGAGAGGGAGACACAGATCTTGGTCTCCTACACGCGAGTGGGTCTCCCCCCTACAAGGACAGCATCGAGAATCTGCAAAGGTTCATCACAGGACTCTCAAAATAGGAAAAAACAAGGTGATCGGGAGATAAGATAGTGTTCTCTGGAGAGTGCAAAACAAACAATAGGGCTCGTGGGAGGGTGCTGGCCCACTGGGCCATGGGGTGAAGTGGGATCAGACCCACAGGAGAACTCCTTGCTTCCCCATCGACCTCCACACCCACCCAGCCAGGGACCTGTCTGAAATTGGTGCAAAATCGCGGCAGGAGAAGAGGGTGCTGGATAGGACGGTCATTAGTAGAAATTCCCTGGAGCCCTATGCTAGGACAGCTCCAAGACGGGAGGAAACTGAACTGAGCTGATAGGGGAGGCAGTTAAATGTCTTGCCTCTGGTAACGAGCGGGGCCAGCCCTATAGAGCTGTTCACTAAGTCGGGGGCTCTAAGCTGGAACTGCCTCAGGCAAATAAGACTGCACAGGGCGGGTCAGTAAGAGCAAGAACTGTGGCTGAACTGGCAGTAGGGAAGGCGGCATAGAGGAGGCCACGGGGTGTCCTGATGACCCAGACCCCAATCCGGCACCTGCCACCTCCTAAACAGTCGCCCCCAGTGCTGGTGCCCTGCGAGTGGGCAAGTGTCGCCATTGAGGGGGTCCACAGCCCAGCCGCGGCAATGTGATAAGGCGGGGAGGGCAGGTCACCTCCCCCCCAGCCTAGAGACTCTCCTGACAAATTCCGCCCCTACACAATCTGCGATTAGCTCGCCAGGCCTGGCTCGATCAACCAACTACTGAGAAAACTAATGCCAACGGGAGCCACAGCCACTGGGGTGCTGGGGTGCAGGGCAGACAGGGTAGCCACTTCCTCCCCCAGCCCGCATCTCTCCTGCCGAAAGTGGTAGGCTCCATCCCTAGAGGCGGGGTGAGACAAGAAAACCCACTCTCCCTCAGATCTAGGGAGAATCCACTGGGCCCGTGCACAGTGCTTAAGTGCACGGTATAAAAGAATTTGCTTCCCAGAACAGTTTAGGTCACCCAGTTGATCAAAACGCTGGGGCTGGATCTCCTCCCCCAGTCAGTGACTTGGCGAGGAACAAATCCTCCACAAGTAACCCCTCCCATCAGGGGTACCTTCCAAGTGTGGTGGAAGAGCTCCCCCCAGTGGCTGTTCAAGAAACTACAGAAGAGACGCCCGGGCACCATCAGCTCATCTGGATGGGGAGGGCTCAGCGAAAGATTTCTGGAACTTCAAAAAATCAAACCAAAAACTCTCCCTCTAGAAGATACACCAGTTTTCAAGAATTGGAGAATGAACAAACCCAAAACACTAAAATAACAGAAGAAGAATACCAAAATTGGATTGTAAGAAAGCTCAATGATATGCAAGAAAAAATGGACAACCAACACAAAGACACCACAAAGAAGATTCAGGACGTGGAACAAAGATTCACTAAGGAAATTGAGATCTTAAAGAAAAATCAATCCGATCTCCTGGAAATGAAGAATTTATTCAAGGAAATACAAAACATAGTAGAAAGCCTCAAAAATACGTTGGACCAAACAGAAGAAAGAATCTCAGAGCTTGAAGATAACACTTTCCAATTAAATAAATCGGTCACAGAAATAGAGCAAAGAAACAAGAGAAAAGAGCAAAGTCTACAAGAGATGTGGGATTACGTGAAGAAACCTAATGTGAGGGTCATAGGGTTACCAGAGTGGGAAGAAGGAAACACTCAAGGGTTGGACAAGCTATTTGAAGATACAATAGAGGAAAATTTCCCAGGCGTTACTAAAAATCTCCAGATACAAGTTCAAGAAGCTCAAAGGACCCCTGGGAGATTCAATGCAAACAGGAAGACGTCACAACATGCAGTCATCAGACTGACCAAAGTATCAATTAAAGAGGCCCTTCTACGAGCTGTAAGATGAAAGAAGCAAGTTACGTACAAAGGAAAACTGATCAGGATAACGCCAAATTTCTCAACTGAAACACTCCAAGCAAGGAGAGACTGGGGCCCCATTCTCAATCTTTTGAAACAAAATAACGCCCAGCCTAAAATCTTGTACCCTGCAAAACTAAGCTTTATATATGAAGGAGAAAGTAAGACATTCTCAGATAAGCAAAGTCTGAGGGAATTCACCAAGACATGACAAGCCCTACAAGAAGTACTCAAAACAGTGTTATGCATGGAACAGCATAAAAAAACCTCACGAACATAAAAACACCCAAAACCTAAAGATTAAAGGCCATATATCATAATGGCTCAAGAGAGAAATCAAAGCAACAATGTCCAACCCAACAGAATGAACAGTAAACTGCCTCATCTATCAGTTCTCTCAATAAATGTGAATGGCTTAAACTCCTCACTCAAGAGACATAGGCTGGCTGAATGGATAAGAAAATACAAGCCAAGTATCTGCTGTCTCGGGAAACACATCTAACCCCCAAGGATGCATATAGACTAAAAGTAAAGGGGTGGAGATCAGTATTTCAAGCAAGCGGAAGCCAAAAGAAGGCTGGTGTGGCGGTTCTGATCTCAGACGATTTAGTTTTTAAACCAACAAAAGTAGTGAAAGACAAAAATGGTCATTATATAATGGTGAAGGGTACAATTCAACAAGAAGATATAACAATTTTAAATATATATGCACCCAACTTAGGTGCACCCAGATTCATAAAGCAAACCTTACTGGATCTAAGCAAATTGATTAACAGCAACTCCACAATAACCAGAGATTTCAACACCCCACTGCTTGCACAGGACAGATCCTCCAAACAGAAAATCAATAAAGAAATAATGGACTCAAACAAAACTCTAGAACAATTGGTCTGTTTGACATTTACAGGACATTCTATCCAAAATCCACTGAATATATGTTCTTCTCATCAGCTCACGGGACATTCTCTAAGATTGACCATATCCTAGGACACAAAGCAAGCCTCAAGAAATTAAAAAAAAATAGAAACCATACCATGTATCTTCTCCAATCACAGTGGAATAAAAGTAGAAATCAACCCTAACAGAAAGTCACATTTCTACACAAAAAAGTGGAAATTAAACAACCTCCTACTAAATGATTACTTCGTAAATGAAGAAATGAAGATGGAAATAAAAAATTCTTTGAACAAAATGACAATGGAAAGACAAGCTATCAAATCCTCT